TTCTTGCCGATCTCATTAGTAAGCAAGTTTATAACGGTCATATTATTCCTGTTCTAATGCCTTTTTTCTGTTTAAATAATCTTAATCTGTTCATGTTTCTCTGAAATCCTTTCTTGCCTAACTATAGATGGAATTTGTAATTGTGTTTGCTACATTGAAATTCTCTATGAAATCCTTTGCCAAAACAGTGTTTCTAGAAAGCAGCTGGCATTGACCCCAGGTAGAGGCAAGGGAAGGACATGGAATGCCAACAGAGTGGTTTCAAATCTTTCATGTCACTATTTCTTTTTTGTATTTGTCACTACAGTCAACAACAAAAAAAACTGTTTAATCTCACTTGAGGATTCCTTTGTACAGCCAACCAAACACACACACAGATCTGTTTCATGAGAGCATAAGAGGTCTGATGTAAGTAACAGAAGGGATAGTTTCTCTTCATCTTCAAAGATGAGTCATCACAAATAATCTTGTCCAAGCAATAAAAGACACTTGAGTGATGCACATACACACTCTTAAGCGTACACACACACACACACACACACACACACACACACACACACACACACACACACACATCAAAGGATGTATCAGCTGCAGGTGTGTAAAGTGGGTCGTATTGGGTTTTAGTCACTCCAGAGGGATTAAGGTGTTACCGTGGTTTGTCGGGCGGGAGTTGGGCGGCTTCACGGCTGCTTCCCTGTGGAACATTGCACTCACACAGCGCCAGTATTATGAAATAAAGTCATATTATAACTGAGTGAGATGCATGAGTTAGTCACAAAGGAGGGTTAAGTCTCATTTATGTGGAATAATGTCAGAAATTAATGTCAAAACACTAATAAAGACTTCACTTTTTTAAATGGAACAATTACCAGCAATATTTCCAGTATGGTTGTCACTTAAATCAAGGATGAGCTCCAGGGAAAACTCTGGAAGATTTTCTCCCAGGCACTTGTAGACACTTCATCCGGATTCTGTGTCTGTTTACAGATGTGGATGTGAGCTCAGGGTTTAGAGAAGCTATATGGAAATAGAGGATGAGGGTTTAGTGATGCAAGGCAAACCTTAAGCCCCCCCAGTGCACTCCCGTGTATCAGACTTCAATGACCGCAGCCCTGTGGAGCACAACGGTATGCCTCAATATGTATGGAAATGAGAGGGAATCATGCTAACGTGTGTTCAGTCTCTTTAAACATGCTAATGGTGTCATTACACTTTCAGCCCTGAATCACCTCTCCCAACACCCCCCCTCATCAGAACCTCTGCTGTCTTTCTGTCTTTTTTCCTGACCTGGAACAGATGTGGTTTTAATTATGCAAAGAAATATACGCAGACCGAGTCCGATCCACTAGACTGAGCTCCTCTCTGCACCCTTTCCCTTCACTTCCCTATCCCCTCTGCCTCCATCCTTCGCTAACTCTTCCCAAAACCTCCCTCTCTCTTCCCCTCTTTTAAAGTTGGGGATTGAAGGACTCGATTTCAAAACCGCGCACGTCTCGGTGATTCAAGTGAGGGGTTTGTTCCGCTGCCACACTTCCGTTCACAAATGCTCTGGCTTGGGGAGGAGGGAGGAGAGAGGAGGGAGAAATCCCTGTTAATCTAGTGAATCTGGCTCTCTCCGTCTCTTTTGTTCACTGTTACTGGGACTCTGGTGCATTGATCTCTAGGGAAGCATGTAGGGTGGGTGTGTGGGGTTTGGGGTTGGGTGAGAAGGAGGTTTGTTTAACAATTCAGTCTACATGCATTGAAGGAGTCTAACATCCCTCCTTTCTTAGTGACAAAATGTGAATGATCACAATGTGTGCCTATTTTGCTATAAGAGATGACCATGTTGACATACATTGCTAAACTAGTGTAGGAAAAAAGGACTAAGAGAGCATTAGATCTTTGATTTCAATAAGATGAGGCTGGCATTTCTGTCACATGTGCCCCTTACACCTGTATCAAATTGAGGATATTTTTACTGACGGAAATCCAGGTCAAAAATGTGTCAAGTTGTTATCTTTAGAAAGTAATTTATTGCTCTAATTGCACTAAAGCTAAATACAGGAGGTCATTCAAATGACTAAGGAATACATTTAGTGCAAGCACACACACAATAAAAATAACTATGCTTTTACTATGGCTCCTGTGAAAAACGCAGCTTTGCCAGTCCATCATAACGGTGGGCTCCTTTGTATTGACACATTTTCACATTTTGTATTCCTTAACAGACGTTTCTCCAGTTGCCTGTTTCCCTGAAGTGGGCATACGGTGCACTTGGCTTGCACACATGCTGTGGCGGGGGACGCTTGTTTTGTTGATCTGTGTTTAATGAAAATGACCACACAGAGCATATTTGGCCATTAGCTCAGCAAGGCCCTGTAATCACTACAAGTTGTTTCCCTTTTTTCTTGCAGTTCAATATTGAACAAACAATCTGTGGGGAGAAAAGCTTGTGTACCTGCCATCTTCTTTCTCCCTCGTTTTATTTCCCTCTGCTAGGCTGCACTTTGGAAAGTATTGATTCTGGTGGCTTGAAAATAACGAACCGGGGACCTTCCAAGTGGGGTAATAAACAGGCTCTGCAAAAAGAAAAAAAATTAAGAAAGCACACATGAAGTGTGTGGCCAAAACTAATAATCAGCCACTGTATATGCTAAAAATCAGTCAGCTGAGTTAATCACTGTTACTGCTGTGTGCCATCCTCTATCTTTTGGTAGCTAGAAAAAAGCACCTGGATAGTAGGTGAGGACGATGGGTCGTAAAGACCTTCAAACCCACAGCAGGGTAAATATGAGTCACCCAACAGACCTCAGTTATTGGCCAGTAAAATAAAGTCAAAGTGTGATGTGTGGCACTGATTGTAACGCTGTGTTCATACTGATGGAGAATAACACACCTCAAATAAACTCAGTTTATTGTGTGTTTATGCATGCAGATTAAAGGTAGGGTATGTAAGTTTGAGAAACCGGCTCGAGATCGCTAGAATTTGAAAATACACAACCGGAGAAAATCTGCCACTTCCTTATAGAGCCCCTCCTCCAACACACACGAACGCACACATGACCAATGAGGGCACGAGATAAGTTTGTGCACAGATGGAAGGCTGACAGGCAGGTAGGCCATCCAGTTATTTTAGCCGGGCCCGGCTAAAATGATTGGTCGTACTTTTTACAGTACTACAGCTTCCACAGATGACATTTTTTTATGGATTTTTTGTCAAAGCACTTAAGATATTCATTGCTATCGGGATGTTAAGAGCATTCCATGGAATATAACAAAAAGTGTATCTCGAGCCGGTTTCTCAAACTTACCTACCCCACCTTTAAGTACCAATACAAATGGACATGAATACGCACATACTGACACACAGACTCGCCAGACTCTTGCCAGTCCATTTCTATTAATGGTAATCAGCAGGGCAATGATGACAGAACTGTGTCTGTGGCTTACTTACTGATGGCTGATGGCCATGCTCTCTGACAGCTGTCAGACACCATGACTACACTGCCAGGCCCCTTCTTAGGACTTATTTCAGCTCAGCACATCAGCTGCAACAGCACTTCACACACAAACTTGTTGATTATCAGCATCATCGGGGCCGGCGTGGAAAGACTTCTCTGACCGCCTGTCTGCTAATGACAGCCACCATGATGGTGGATGGTGGAAAGAGGACACAGCCTGTCACTTTGATTCATCCAACAGCAGCTCCAACTGGGTGGCTCCGCGCCAAACTCTCGACAGTTGCTATATCCTCTCCTAAATGACATTTCAAGTGTGAAGCAATGGCTGTCCTTGTGGCTCAGTCACCCCAGGCAGGGCCCCGGACATGAGAGCCGAACCCTGCGCCAAGTTTTGCATTGAGGTCACAAACCCGCAAGCAAGGTCTCCTCACTCAGATGCTCTAACTCAACTCGCTGGCATGATTGCATCTGAGTAAAGTGACCTTCAAGATAGATGTCGCCAATCATCTGATGTACGCCTGACTCCTTTTTTCATCCCGGTCTGATTTATTTTGTTTGTTTATTTTTCGTCTCTGCTGCTTTATTTATATGCCCCTATGTACACATATATGTATTCTGTACATTTTGTGAAAGATTAAGGTAATGCCCTTAATTACCCATGATGTACAATTTGACATTTATAAGAACTGAAGGGTAGGAGAAGAACAATTGAGATTTCTTTGTGGATGTAAATAATACATTTTAATTAACATTGACATTTTGTTACTGCATTTCTATTTTTATATATACTATTATATTTATAATAGTGTTACTTCATGGTCAATGGTAATTTTCAACGACTGAATATTGTATAATTGACAAATAAAAGGATGAATTGCAATCAGTTTACCAGAAAGTGTGTACTGCAGGAAGCAGGATGAGAGCTGCCTGCAGACGAAAACAACACAGGAACAAGATGTAACAACTTGAAGCACTACCCTAGATAGCACATTCAGTTATATCTAATGGCTTGATCTCAGATGGGAGAGAATTCTAGATATCTGCAAGGTAGACTGACACATAATTACCAAGAAGAGCTTATATTAAGTGCATTTAAACTTTTGTTCACTCCCACTTACAGATTCCAGACCTGAACTTTGAAAGTGCATCATTTTCAACAGCCTATAATCAGCAGAACACATTAGAATAGTTTAAAATAGCTCAAATCAGAGAGACTCAGTCGAGTATTCTCTTTGAAATAAATTATTACAAGTGTAAAACAAGAGCAATGTAGATGTAAAAAAATATTGGATGAAGTAGACACTAAAGCTCTTGATCATGTTGCCAAACATGTTACCAAATGGAAAGCTAACCAAATATAGCATCATGCACTTGTTGTGCATTGTTGGCTGAAAGCACCCTGAGACTCATACACTGGGAAACTTGAAAATAGCTGCTCAAAGCTAGCAGGCACTACAGTTTTATAAAATACCTCTTAGCCATGTACTAGATTGAAACCATTATGCACGGTTAAATCCCTCACTAACTCAAACCCCTCTGTCACTCTGTCCACAGTCTATCCGAGAAGTGACAGGCTATGTGTTAGTGGCCCTGAACCAGTTTGACTACCTGCCGTTGGAGAACTTGAGGATCATCCGAGGGAACAAGCTGTATGAGGACCGCTACTCCCTCGCAATCTTCCTCAACTACAGACGTGATGGAAACTTCGGATTACGCCAGTTGGGTCTGAAGAACCTCACAGGCGAGTTATTCAATAATTCTATGCCTGTTTGTGTCTGTGTTGCGTGTTGTGAGAATTTGACTGGCTTTTATAAAAAGTTGTGGCCTGTAAGCTAATGATGGTGCAACTTTACTTTGAATGCAATTATTATTATTTGTAAAGCTTGTTTTTATATGAGATCAAATATTTAACATTCTTTATTTCCATGTCTCCTGGAGTTTGTGTTCATGTTTACCCTATCATTCAGAACCTGCTGGGCCCTCCTTACAGGCTACGACAGCTAATGATGAGATGCTTTTACTCCTAAGGCTAAAATCAGATGCTCATTACTGACCAAGGTTCTGTTTTTACTCTGAAGCACACTGGGTAAAGCAATCTTCTCCAAAACGTGTATATAATGTTATTGTTTATAATGGATGAGTCAGAAGCAGTCTTTGCAAATGGAGGCCATCCACTCATCAGTGTGGTCGAGTGGAAGCAGACAAGTATTTTGAAAGCTTTTTTGGGGGGGATTGGAATGCTTCACAGACTCTCACCTAACATTTATTATTCACTTCTCTCACTACCGTGTTTCAAATTGCAATCCTTGGAGTTAAGGATTTTAAAAAGTTCTTACGGCTGAAATCGTCTGTGATCAGATCCTGCTTGTTTGGGTGCTAGTTAATCAGAAGTTGCCTAGAAATAGTTTATCTACTCTCTGCTTTATAAACTATGCTGACTAGCAAAATATATTAATATCGTTTCACACTGATCTAACATTAAGTTGGTAAAGATGTCCCATCTTTTCCCAAAACACTATCGGAAAGTACATTGTGCAATTAATACATTTGCCAATGTGCCGGCAGTTGTTTATTGGCTTCTATCACCTTCAAGCAAGGAAATATGCAGATAGTATGTCTCTTCTTCTTCTCCCAATAACCCGACTGGTGCTGTTATCACAATTAACCCTCTCACACTAAGGGATATGATGCTGACTTGTGATGCTGTGAAAAGATGTTATCTCCTCCGTTGTTTCCAACCATTGCCTATCACTGGAAACAAAGTGTCTGTCGTCTGATTTACAACCCTCTCTGCATTCGACCCCAGCCTGTTTCCTCAGAAGTTGGAGCGACAGTGAATGTGATTGCTGATAGATAGCGTACTAAGTAAGAAAACGTTGTGTGGGAGGCTCTGTCTTTCTCTGAACAATAGATCCTTGTTCTGCTAGGTTTTCTGCAGGCACACTGACCTTGAGGTCAGCAAGAAATGAAGCTCTTGACTTGCAAAAAGACGTAGAATATTCTCCAATGCAGGGCTAAGTGGGGCATGCTGGGGCTAGCTCATCATGTGTGTAACACAAGAGCAGAGGTGTTATTCACTAAGTTCCAACCACACAGATATTCTGAGTGACTGAAAATGGAGAAAGAATCAATCAGCTAAATAACACTAAGTAGAAAATAAGTCCTGGGGCCTCATTTATAAACGGTGCGTATGCACAAAAGATGGCGTACGCCAGTTTCTACGCACTGTTTGCGATTTATAAAAAACTAACTTGACGGGAAAATGTGCGGTCCTCCACGCAAACTCTGACCCATGCGTACGCACTAAGCACAAAAGGAAGGTTAGGTTAGGCTATGTGTATTGTTTTTGTCATTAACCTTTTTCGGACCACTTATTTATTTATTTTGGTGACGATCCGACCTCCATGCTGCTACTCTGGTTCAAACTGCATCCACCAAACAATATGATTTATCTCGACCTCCCCAAACTAACCAAAATCTGACACGGTGTGAGATGTCTTTTTTAGCTGTTCTGTCGTCATTTCCTGCGATCTTCTTCATGCAGTCAGTCAAAATGAATGAATGAATGGGCGTTTCTTTGACCATTTATAGGCAAATATGGGCGTTACGTGAAGCCCGCGAAAGCTGCGCCGCATTTCGAGTTGATTGTGATTTATAAAGGGAAACCGGCGTAGGATGTGCCGTACGCAAGTCCTGTGCCGGTACGCAGTCTTTTATGAATCGGAAAGTGTCGGTGCGTATTTATTTGCTTTGTCCTACGTAAGCAACCTTCCCACGCCAATCCTACGCAAGGCTTTATAAATGAGGCCCCTGGTCAGTTGTGTTAAGTCCAACTGTTCCAACACTGTTATGGTTTCTTCCCTTTTTTCACTTCAGTGCTATCATAACATGAATTATTTTGCTTATTATCTTTTACACATAGGACTGCATGAAAAATTTGTTTTGAATGATTTATTAGGTGGCTCCACAAAGTGCCATGCATGTCCTCGTTGATGAAGAATGTCAGTAAAATGTGCTTTGAAATGAGTTTCGCTGCTCATTTCTTTGTGGGGATGGGCTCCCAGAGCAAGCAGATTGGCCTGGTGGCACACAGTAGAATTAAGTTTTTCACCCCATGATGCTGTGGAAGTAATATTGCATAAATGCATTAATAAATAATATAAGCCTTATTGCAAGTAGGTCAAGGAGACACTGAGGCAACATGAGAAAGACAATGTCCTTGCACTGGAATGTAAAAGTGCTCTCTGTAGTGAGAGATCACGATTCATTCAGAAAGTAGACTTTATTTCGACTTTTGAGGGAGACACATAGCACTGAGCGTGTGTCTCTGCTGCTTCCAAACCCTCTGTTTAAATAATTCAATTGTCTCTCATTGTTCTCCTCATCTGTTCCTTCCTGGTGATCCCCCAGAGCTATCCACGACTGTACTATATGTGCAAAAACAGTGTGTGCTTGTGCTAATGTTCCAACTTGAATTCTCTCTTGCATGTTGCGCCATACTTAGGGAATTACGTTGGTCCAGCACCACTAGCAGTTGTTTGCCAAGCTGGTCCTCTTCATTGTGGTGCCAAGATAAAGCCAGTGCTAAGGGAGCCAGGGCTGGACTGTGTGAGAAGCTGCTGTTTGATGTGCTATCCATGGCCTCGAGCCATGAAGTGAAGGGGGAAGTTATGCACAACAGCCATGGCCTGAATCTGCTCCACTTGATCAATCTGATTGTTTGAGTTTCACCCTGTTTTTTTTTATCCTGTTAACAGGTAGAATAGTGCAAACTTAATATTTTAATGCAAAACATTTCTGATGACACATTGGTCTTGTTCTTGGAGGATCCTCTCAATTAATTTCTCACGACATACCAACCAGAAGTCTAAAATGCTACCCTTGGTTCCTAAAAGCTTAGATTCTACCTTGGACCCAGATCAGGTTGAACTTATATAAAGTATAATTGTTACTAGATGCTTTTACCTGGCTACCTGTCTCTAATTCCTAAATGGATCAAAGCCATTTTGCTATCTGCCTTGGCTTCATCATCATTGATATGATGTGTTCCATTTTTAGGCTTTGGCTTCTCATTGGTTGTTGTCATCATGCTGCTATTCCAGCATAATGTTTTCTCTATATGTTTGGGTTTATTAGTTGCAACTTCATTTTTGATAATGTGCATCTTAAGTTACAAAAGATTATCCAGAATCCTTCCCAAATGATTGGACCAGTAACAGACCTTAAATACCAACGTATCTATTTATAACAGGAAACATTTCTTGAAGGGACTGTCATATTACTGCACAGTTGCACCTGACAGTTGAAGAAGCTCTGTTTGCTGCTGAGGTATAATATTTAAGTATGTCAGCTTGAACCATCAGGATAGATCCACTACTGTACATCAAGCAGTACATCAAAACTCTTCCCTTTAGTGAGGCCAAGGCTGGCTGTCTCATTCATTACAAGGCCTTTGATGTTCCTGTCATATAGGTCCACTGTTTCTTTGCCAGCAGCTCCCAGGATACGTGTAAAATGATCGATATAATCCATAAGGAACATATATAAATGATACAAAATATTAACTACAAAAGGGGCTAATCGAGGGAAGGCTCAGTAAGCGACCCCTTCAGTGCTGAAGCCCACCCGTATTTCTACTTGGGTTGAAATTGCCTTAGGAGGAAATCAATTTGTCGCTAGTGTATTGTAGCATTGCACTTATTGATTTTTCTGGTGCACTCTCTGCGAGCTGTGAATGGACTCTCTGGATTTGAGGGGACTGCAGGATGGAGTGTAGGAGGTCTAAGTCTGAGCAGGGATAGGACTTCCTTCGATGCACCTTTCAATCAAGCTTAGCTAAGTTATCCTCATGAATATGAAATATAAGACAGAGTTAAGCTTGGAGAAGTTGAGGGATGGTGTGTGTGCACAGGGGTGTGTCACAGTGAATAAGAAATGTAAGACCCTTGGCTTGTGTGTGAAAAGTTTAGTTTAGTTGTTTGTTTGTTTGATATGACTTTGTGAGAAAGACATTTATGTATAAAAAGTGACATTGTGAGGACTTACCTCCTATCCTAAGACAAAAGCTGGTATGTGATCACTGCAAAACATAAGCTTTGACTATTTTTTTTTGTTACCTTTTCTCCCCATAGCCAAGCGAGATAAAGGTTAAACAGAGCGGTCTCCTGACATTTTCAAAGTTCCTAATCTGTATTTTGATGCCTGCTGACCCGCAGTGTCTTGCTTCCTGCTTAGGCAAACATTTTCAGCACTTCCGTCTGGATTCACATGAACCCCGGGCAGCTTCTGTGCTTTCACATGGTAATTACAGGCTGCTTCCCTGGCAAAATAATAACAGCCTCAATAAGGAGCACAACACAGATGAGCTTTCAGAGTTATCGCATTTTACTGCGACCCACCCCCCCTTCCCCACCTCTTCCCTTCCCTCATCTTATCCAGTATCGTTTAATTTTTTTTTCAGTTTTGTTTTGTGTTGTTGATTCATTTTCCTAACCACCCAACGCCTGCACTGCGTCTGTCCAAAATGAAGCATCCAATCTGAGGCCCCATCTGCTGAATGATCCTCTCTCGTTGCATGCATGTACACAAGCCTGTGTTTTACGCCAAGGCGTTATCCACTCCTTCATGGCCCATCTGCTCTCTCTTTATCCACCCTGTTTTCTGTCTTCCTTCAATCGCTTTATCCCTCTTTCCTTGGCTCTGTGACTCTCATCATATATTAGTTGGCTGTCTTGATTTGTC